GGACTCGCGAACTAGGATTGCGTTTTGGGGGTGTTGGCGACGTTGCTATGTTCGGGTACAGTGATTCGGACTGGGCAGGAGACCCAGTTACGCGGCGTTCTACGTCCGGTTACGTATTCACTCTTAATGGGGCTGCGATTAGCTGGAGCAGCCAACTTCAACGTACTGTGGCGGCTTCGTCGGTGGAGGCTGAGTACCAAGCTACAGCGGCGGCTGTTCGTGAGGCTTTGTGGCTTCGCAAGCTGATGGTTGATTTGGGCTTGCCTGAGAGCGCGGTGAAAATCCAGATAGACTCCCAGGGGGCACTTAGCTTGGGAAACAACCCGATTACGTCTGCTCGGTCGAAGCACATCGACGTGCAGCATCACATAGTGCGTGAGAGGGTAAAGGCGGTGAGGTGCAGTTGGAATACTGCCCTACGGAGTGGATGGTTGCGGATGTGCTCACAAAGGCTCTAGGTGAGGTGAAATTCAAACGTTGCCGAGATGCTATGGGCCTTGTGTGAAGTGTGCTTGAACTTGGAACTCGTTGGGATATGGCCCGAGGGGGCGTGTTGAGGAAACGGTCCTCTCCCAACTCGTTTGGTTGTCGACCAGGGGATTTGACCCCGGGTCTGCGTCTGACTAATGGGGAAGACTTACCCCAGAACCTTATGGGCTACCGATGCATATCCGGTAGCTAAGTGATAGACATTAGGGCACAGTCTGGACGGCGCAGTGAGATCGCGGAATGTACGTGCAGTTAGATCGCGGAATGTACGAGTTTTCCGCTAGCGCCGGTATTTAGGGCGGTGACTGCGCTTATTTGTTTATCTCACTACGATCGGTATTCCTCATAGGAATCTCCTCAAGTCCTGCCGAACGCTAATAATACTCGTTTACATTACTCGTAACATTTTATCGTGCTAAATATCGTGCTAAATATCTTCGCCACCGGCAATCCTTCCGGAATAACAATCAGCGTTAGCCGTCACCGTCGCCAATTCTTCAATATCAAGAAGGGTGGTCACGTAACGCGAACCATTTGGTGAAGGTTCAGGCATAGGCCCACACACATCCATGTGAATGAGCGCGAGAGGCTGCGCTGTCTTATGCCCAGATAACGGAAAAGGACCACGTGTATGCTTTGCAAGGATGCAAGTCTCACACACACACACGCTGGCTGATGTCGGTCAACATTGAACCCAGTTACCATATTGTGATGCAGCAACGTCTCAAGGTTGCTGTATCCCAAGTGGACATACCGTCGGTGCCAAAGTGCTGCACGTTCAGCTCCGATATCCACGGCAGCACACACTGCACCACCACCAGAAGGCATCTTGTTGATGTTGTTACAGGGTGGTTAAGCTTCACCAGTGGCCTCCTTCCCGAGGCAATTCCCTGCTCTCCCCTGCTAGAGTTACAAGTTACAAGTGCCGCACGAGTGCGGGGGTGTCCGTCAAAGCCGGGAGGCCATGGACTATATGTAATGTTACAGAGTGGGAGGCTTCTGGGCCGCTTTTATCACATTGTCAGTTCTACGATTTATCATCTTATAGCACCGTCCACCACTACCACACTATACTTCGCCATACGAACTGTAAGTCCAAGGCGGCGGGTCCAGCCGTCTAGGACCCCTCCTCATCCATTCACCCGAACAACCAAAGAGACGGAGGGTTCGGCAATCGCCACCAA